TACACAAATCACATCCAGATGCATATCACACAAGTAGAATATTAGATGAAGAGATTGCTAAATCTAAAAGCTTAAAAAGTTATACAAGTAATGATAGCTCATTAAATAATCTTGATTTTGGCTCTCTTCTCTTAAATGTTGAAGGTGAATAAAAATTTCATTATTAATTAATCGGGAATTAATATCCATTTACTAACAATATTTAATTAATTAATAATGTTAGATTCTAGGATTGATGAATTCATTATATTTTTTATTTTATCTTTATTTTATTTCTTAAAGCTAAATTATTATCATAATAAACTTTTTTCAGTTTTTAATTCTTGTTAAATGGTGTAGCATTTTGGTTATTTAACATGTATGGCTGATTACGGCTTAACTTTTGGACTGCTCTTGTCAGTTAATTGCAAGCAACTCAGAATAATTCGGTGCTTATCAATTAATTAATTAGTTTACAAGTTTATTTTGGTTCTCTCTTTCTTGCACCTAGATGAACCTGTAAGCACATTTAATGGTACCAGATAACTGTAAATAAATAAAGATGGTCCTTTTGCAATGTTATAAAATTCCCTTTATACACTTGTGATCAATTTATTTATTTTAGTTGTTTGCCCTTGTTTACATTTATTGTCCAATTGCAAACTCGCTTTGATTTACTTGCAAAACAACTTAAGTAGCTTATTCAGAAACCTTACTCACTAAAGCAAGTTATGTTACTAATTATTGTTAACACTCACTAATTAACCCTAACCTTGTTTATTTGGTTGCTAAAGCAAATAAACATGGGTTTTTACCAAAGACCCACAATTGTTACCTTTTACCAAGGCACTAACTACACTTGTTGCTTTTATCAAGAAAATAAAGACAATGTTTTTATGTTTAAAAGTTTTATTAACGATTAATTTTATTAATGAAAATAATGATTATAACACAGGGTTTTATTTTTATTAGAATGTTAATTATCTACCATTTTTCTCTGCAAGGACCTGGAGTTATGCCTTTTAAAGTGAAGACCAGAAGTTATCCTTAATGAAATTTTTGTTGATAAAGATAAAGACAAAGATGGGTTTATTATTGCAAAGTAACTTAATCAATCAATATTGATATTATAAAAACCTCCATAATTGTTTATACGTTAAATTGATAACAATTATAAAGCCAATAATTATACATTAAAATCAGTTGACCTTGAAACATGATTTTATCTAAACCGATCATGTATAATGTTATCAAGAAATGTTCGAATTTAGTTAGTAAATGAGTGTGTGGGAATTGAATTTTTGTATTCAGCAAAAGAAAACTTAGATCCTTGGAAACAATTCATGAAACAAAGGAGAGGTTGAGACATGCAAGAAAAATAAGATTTTGGAATTAGTTTTTTTGTGTGAATCATTTTTGACTTAATGGCAGCGAATTTGACATGGTAACATTTTGTGAAACAATTTTAGTTCAGAGCACTGGATGCGAAGCACCTTCACATTCATCCTATCATGTATTTATGATCAATGATGCAATTTTTAATAAAATAGACTATTTCATGGCCAGATGATTGAGTAGTCTAATGATTACCACAAAACATATAAATATACCTGCCAACAACATCCAAAAATGCAAAAAACATTGGTTAGGCTTTACATGTTACATTCAAATGCGAGGTATCTATATATTTGTTTGGGGCATCAACATTAGTCAATCACATTATTATTATATCAATATTTTTATTTTATTTATTTATTTAAAAAAATTACATATACAAAGGGAAATTGTTTACGGATTTAATAAACTTAATAAAAGATCCTTTGCAAAGAAGAACCATCATGTGAATCAAATGTTATTTATAAATTTGAAGATTTAGAAAAAAAAAAATAAACTTACGATTTGAATACTTGTAAAAGTGAATAATAAAGGTGATTTTTGATAAGTCAGCATTAAATGATTGAGTGGACCCATTTATTGAGTTTACGATTCTTTTATTTTTGTAAAATCACGTGTTTTGATCTTTTGATAGGTCTGATCACCATGCCCAAACCATTCATCAAGCTTACCCCGTATATGAGATTTCATACAAATATATTAAACATGAAAGTGATTATTGAAGATTCGAATAACTTTGTAGTAGTAAGTTGTGAAAGGATGTAATTATAAATCTGCAGCTATTTATTATATTTATTTCAGGCGACTTTTGTGGAATATGTTCTATCAATATTATATTGTGGTGTCAGTTTTATTTTAATTGTTTTAATTGTCTTTTCCATTCTTCATGTAAAAAAAAATTCATAACAAATGTATTAAATATGAAAGTAATCATCAAAAATCCAAATTCAACCTTACAAAAGTACTGACTAGTGAGAACTCAGAGGAGAATGAAATATCATTATCTTTGATGTAAATAGATGCTGTCTTCGACAATAAATGTATCACTTTATATTATCGATATAAACATAATGATAAGAGGAGATTTGTAGTAAGATTTTATATTAAATTTAAATGTAGGATTCTAAATAATATAATTAATGGCAAAATGATTTTTATTCATTACAAACAAATATCAATTTAATTAATACTTTTAACCAAGATTTATATAAATTTCATCTACTTTGTATATAAAAGTGATAATAAACACAAAGAATAAATTGGTTCATAAATCAACTTCATAGTGATATTTTGAAAACCATGGAAATATAATTTATTTCACTTTATTGTCCATGCTACAAAGAATTGCTGCCATATATATAAATTATTAATTATTAAGATTTAAAAAAACACAATATTAAAATGACAATTAAAAATAAAAAATTTATTTTGAATATCATTCAAAGAAATTCGGGCATACTTGATGATTCTATGACATGTGTTAAAATATTCATAGTAGCAAGATGTTGATTTTTTTGTTTAATAAAGCTTCTTGACAATAAAAATTAAGTTTTTAACTTGAATTTCAAATGATATTAAAGTATCTTGAGAAACAGAATCAGCCATTTCGATTTGAAGCAAAATAGATGTTGAAGCCTCTGGAACTTTTTGGAAAAGGCAAAAAGCACTTAAATCACGGGATGTTAGTCTCCATGGGACAAATCAGTTATTCCATGGGGACAATGATAATTTCACAGCTATGCTGTAAAAATCATTGATCACTGTGAAACAACATTATTTTAAAAAAACAAATTTATTAATTATTAATAATAAACATCATAATAATATTATTAAATATATTCCAACAGATAACATGTGCCAGATTCTATTCCTCAGTTGGTACATGGCTCTTCCACAAGTCCTGACAATCCCAGCAAGTCTTCTTCCACAGTGTCACCCAGCAAATAGCAGGTTATTTTCCTCACTGGACACGCTTAATAAAAGGTAGGAAGGATATCTATACTTTACAGAATTGGGGGTGGAGACAGTAAGGAGAAGCTTGTGAAAGCACTCTCCTTCAATAGGGAAATAAGAAGGTTGAAAATAAGATTCCTTGTAATGTGTGATAATAAAAAAATGACTGGTATATTTGTTAATAATAATAAATATCATTAAAATATATTTCAACAGATAACGCGTGCCAAATCCTATATCAGTAAGTTGCCTCACTGGGGACACACTTAATAAAAGGTAGGATATCTATACTTTTAAGTACATTCTGCAGAATGCAGTAAGGAGAAGCTTATTCAAGTACTCTCCTTGGCATGTGTGATAATAAACAAACAATTGATATATTTGTTTTGTGTGAGCATTCATTATTATCATTAAAATGATTATAAGGCAATAACTTAACCATCAAATATATATATATTACACACATGTAGGAAACTGCTATTGGGCAACCTGGGGACACTAAAAACAATTTGATATGCAAAATTTTATTGCATTTCAAATATTACAATTATTCACATATTCCTTGTGAAAAAAGGCTAATCTGACTTGATCCCCTGATGATATAATAATGGAATTAAACTTCGGGGTGGGGTAATGATGCTCTGAAGTTTATTGATCACTGTTATTTTAAAGCTTCTTGCTTGTCTGAAGCCTTTCCAACTTGTTCAATTGCCTCACCTGTAGAAAATTAGAATTCTATAGTTATTGAGGTTTGCAATCGCATGACGCTTGCTTGTTGGTGAAAGGAAAATTTTATAAATCTGACACCCATAATCAGGGTTGGCTTTAGCTATCAATCCAAATTCACCACCACCATATGCTGACAATAATCCACACGTAATAGTAATATTAAGTGTAGGATCAACAACAGCATCACCATCCAACCTTCACTCCAACTCCACCATCCCAATCCCAATCTCAATCTCAATCACCAACCCGATCAAATTCATCACCAACCCAACCTCCATCATCAAAACACCAAATTACAACACATTTGAACATGTCCAATGCCAACCCTGTTTATAATAAACATCATATTTATTCATTTGGAAATAATTTTTAAAAAAGCTCTACAATTTATGATTGTAGGCAATTGAAAAGTGCACACACGCAAGAAAAGGGAACCAAGTAGAGAAAAAGGATTTGCTTATCCTTAAACTCTACCAAATTCCTCGTCCTCCACCCACCAGGAAGGACATCTTTATGTGGCTTTTTTTCAAATCACTGCATGGTCTTGGTATTATCATTACTCGGGTGATGCAATTTTATGTTGTACCAAAAATGTATTTTGATCCAACCAACAATCATCTACATTCATTGTGTGATTATTTGTCTAATGAATGAAATTTCTAATTTGGATGAAAATGCAATTGACGAACAAGATATATTCTATCAAAATTTGGTTGAAGCAGATCAATTGACAGAACAATTGAACATTGTTTCACAAGTGGCTTCTCAAAACACTATCTGGGATATCAGATCCACAAAATCTGCAATTTATAAGTTCAAAGAACTCTTGTCTGAGTATGTATCATTTCTATTTTATATTATTTTTGTTTCTTGATATGTTCTAAACATTAACAAATTGATCAAATTTTTAGGGGCCAAAAAGAGAGAAAAATATTTTATATTATAACATGTTGAAAATAATAAATTGAATACAGCAATGTATGTGCTGTATATAATAATGGGCTTAGCAAGATCAGCAGGGAAAGAAGATCCTGTTGAACTTGACTCTAGTTCGACATTGGGAAAACGCATATTAGGGTAAGTGTGGGGATGTTTCAGCACAAATGGTGAAATACCATACACCACCCTTATTGTTTTTTAACTGATTGTGGTGGGAAATTAGAATATATGAACCAATCTATCATTGAACCCAAGAATTATTGTATTATCAGATGCGTTTTGAAAAAGCAACAAGGTGAAATTGCTTCTTATGTTTTTAAAATAAATGATACTCAGACAACTGAAAATTATTTAAAGAAAGATGAAGCTAATCTTGATGCAAATTGTGCATGTGCATAATACATTAATATGTCTACTGTATATTTAGCCTAGGCAATACTCTCCTTGGCATGTGTGATAATAAACAAACAATTGATATATTTGTTTTGTGTGAGCATTCATTATTATCATTAAAATGATTATAAGGCAATAACTTAACCATCAAATATATATATATATTACACACATGTAGGAAACTGCTATTGGACAACCTGGGGACACTAAAAAACGATTTGATATGCAAAATTTTATTGCATTTCAAATATTACAATTATTTGCATATTCCTTGTGAAAAAAGGCTAATCTGACTTGATCCCCCAATGGTATAATAATGGAATTAAACTTCAGGGAGGGGTAACGATGCTCTGAAGTTTATTGATCACCATTATTTTAAAGCCTCTTGCTTATCTGAAGCCTTTCCAACTTGTTCAATTGCCTCACCTGTAGAAAATTAGAATTCTATAGTTATTGAGGTTTGCAATCGCATGACGCTTGCTTGTTGGTGAAAGGAAAATTTTATAAATCTGACACCCATAATCAGGGTTGGCGTTGGCTATCAATCCAAATTCACCACCACCATATGCTGATAATAATCCACACATAATAGTAATATTAAGTGTAGGATCAACAACAGCATCACCATACAACCTTCACTCCAACTCCACCATCCAATCTTCACTCCAACTCCACCATCCCAATCCCAATCTCAATCACCAACCCAACCTCCATCATCAAAACACCAAATTACAACACATTTGAACATGTCCAATGCCAACCCTGTTTATAATAAACATCAGATTTATTCATTTGGAAGTAATTTTTAAAAAAGCTCTAAAATTTATGATTGTAGGCAATTGAAAAGTGCACACATGCAAGAAAAGGGAACCAAGTAGAGAAAAAGGATTGTTTATCCTCAAACTCTACCAAATTCCTCATCCTCCACCCGCCAGGAAGGACATCTTTATGTGGCTTTTTTTCAAATCACTGCATGGTCTTGGTATTATCATTACTCAGGTGATGCAATTTTATGTTGTACCAAAAATGTATTTTGATCCAACCAATGATCATCTACATTCGACATGTGATTATTTGTCTAATGAATGAAATTTCTAATTTGGATGAGAATGCAATTGATGAACAAGATATATTCTATCAAAATTTGGTTGAAGCAGATCAATTGACAGAACAATTGAATGTTGTTTTGCAAGTGGCTTCTCAAAACACTATCCAGGATATCAGATCTGCAAAATCTGCAATTTATAAGTTCAAAGAACTCTTGTCTGAGTATGTATCATTTCTATTTTATATTATTTTTGTTTCTCAATATGTTCTAAACATTAACAAATTGATCAAATTTTTTAGGGGCCAAAAGTGAGAAAAATATTTTATATTATAACATGTTGAAAAAAATAAATTGAATACAGCAATGTATGTGCTGTATATAATAATGGGCTTAGCAAAATCAGCAGGGAAAGAAGATCCTGTTGAACTTGACTCTAGTTCGACATTGGTAAAACACATATTAGGGTAAGTGTGGGGGTGATTCAGCACAAATGGTGAAATACCATACACCACCCTTATTGTTTTTTAACTGATTGTGGTGGGAAATTAGAATATATGAACCAATCTATCATTGAACTCAAGAATTATTGTATTTATCAGATGCATTTTGAAAAGCAACAAGGTGAGAAATTGCTTCTTATGTTTTTAAAATAAATGATACTCAGAAACTGAAAATTATTTAAGAAAGATGAAGCTAATCTTGATGCAAGTTGTGCATGTGTATAATACATTAATATGTCTACTGTATATTTAGCCTAGGCAATTTTAAGCAGTTCAGTGATGTTAAGTGGCCCAAATGACTTTATAGTTTTGATCTGGGAATTAATACTGTTAATAATAATTCATACAAGTCAACAGAAAAAATTCCTCATAGTTTGATCTGATGGGAGTTGGTAACAATTCAATAATAACAATGCCAAGTATTTCAGTAAATAAAAAAAATAAAAAATGGCAAAAGAAAAAAATGCCAAGTATTTCAGTAAATAAAAAAAAACAAAAATGGCAAAAGAAATGTGATAAATTTAGCTTAAAACCTTTACCACCCATCATTAAGAATCTTGGAAATGAAAGCAGTAAAATTAATAATAATAATAATAATAATATTGCAATTGGTGATAATAGCAGTAGTAGTAGCAAAATAAACCAAAATTTACTAAATAATAATATTAATAATATACAAGATCTAAAAGAAATATCCAGTTCTTTAGGAGGCCCTATTCACAATTTAATTACTGCAATTACTATTTTTAAAAACAACCCTCAAATGAATGTTGCTAAATTAGCTCATTAATGTGATACATTAACTGTATCCAAATTAATGAATGAAACAAATTCAAACAATTATAAAGAGGAAATCACTAAAAGATTTTTAGAGGATGGTTATGATGATTTAGAGGAATCTTTGAAACCTTGGATTCTTGACTTGTAAAACAAACATTATTCAGGTATTTTTATTACAATGATAAAGTTTTTTTTCAATAAAATGAATTGATTTCTACCTGCCATTAATTAACCCTGTGCAAGACTAATTATTTCAAAAGTTAGCTTTTTTGTGATGAACAATTGGAGCTTCAGGACTTTAATAATAATTGCAGAAATAATAATAAAATTTTTAACTTTATAATAGTAGATAGTAAAAGTTTGTTTTTCTCTGTTCATGTGGAAGCATTACAACCATATTACTTTTCTGCTTGTCTTAAATTTTGATCATATAATGCAAAAATATTGTAACATGAAAATTAGCAGTTCTGAGCATTAAAAAATCCATGAAAAAAAAATTTTTGAGACAAAATTTTTTTTTATGGATTGATTCCCTTTTTAAAACTGAATTGAATGGTGGCAGGTGGTTTTTTAAAATTCAACTTATGAGTGAACAAAATTTAATATGTACACAAGAGTTTATTCCTATATTACGACTACCGCTGCCACTGTCATCTCATTCTTGTTCAAATATAATAACATGATCGATACCACCATATGTTTTTTCTACTTATAATTTTACAAACTTTAAACCTTACAAACGATAATATTATGCCAAATATGTCGCAAGGTATGTTTAAACCATTTGATTATTCGAACGAAGCAACAACATCATCGCATATGATATCTCAAATGATAAATCACGACAAAAATTTATCAAAGAAGTTGATGACAAACGGGATTTGTAACTTTGTCCCAAGTCTTGTACTCAAAAGAAACTGGGATTACTACAATTAAAGGGAATTTTAAGCAAATGCATCCAAATTCTTAGAGTAACTGTATAAATACACATTTAATGTTAAATATGAATTGTCAGAATGTAGTGTTTTGTTGTGCGTAACAATAAAAATAATACGTTGGCTGTTAGTATTAGCAGATTTGGAGCTAAACTCGTCCAAGTAAATTTAGCTCTAAAATAGCATGCTTGAGAATATTTATATAACTATATTATTTCGTATTTGATTACTCTAAAACTGGGTTGAGACGAACTAAGCCAGGCTGACGAACAATCTAGCATCCCTAAATGAAACAAGCACAGTTGAAATATGACTTCCAGGTTTAAAAAACAAAGAATAATTAAGAATATATGTTTATTCCAATGATACAACAAAGGTTATAATCGTGAGCAATTTTATTAATTTTCTATTTGAAGACCAGGAGTTTGAATTTGAGGTCACTTTATAAAAGTTATGTATTAGATTCAGAGGCAAGGCAGAAGTTCTAATTGGCAATGGTTTGGCTACTATTATTTTCAAAAAATTAAACGAAAGAATAATTAAAGAAATCATAGTTAAATATTATTGATTTAAAATTTTTATTTTTCTATTTTGATTGAAAATTTTGGATGTATTAAAAACATCATATTTCTCACTCTGTCCCTCTTCAATATAAATTTTTAAATAGATAACTATATATTTCTTTGAAAAGATATAATTATTGATTCTTTTTTAAAAAATTTTATAATGGTTCTTTAAATGTAATGGGGAATTAATGGACTATGCAAACATTAGGGTTGCAAAACTTTGTAAAATTGTGACTCGATTTTTTTTTCGCTAAATCAACAAATGAATTTCGTTCATTGTATATTTATTCCGGTTGTTTGATGGGGAAAGGGCACCATTAAGTTCACATGTATGATGATGATTCAACTAAAATCCTAGAAATATTTGGAAGCCAAAATCTCATGATGAAAAACAACTCTCATTTGTCAATGCTTGAGATCTAAAATAGATTTAAGCAATACAAAAAAAGAAACTATGTTAAAAAATAATAAATGCTGTAATTTCAGGATTGAGGAATCACTATGGTGATAATAAAAGAAAGTTTGCAGAATTTACAAACTATTCGCCTGCTTTGCTACAAATTCTTTGTTCTTTTTTTTAATGGACTTATTACTGTCATTCAGCAAAAAAAAAAAAAAAAAGTTGTGGAGAGACAAAGAAAAAATCGTAAGTTACCGTCAACTCCTTTAAGACACTACACCAATTAAACATTTCTAGTATCAATTATTTTGGGAGTAACTATGGATTCAGTAAATGGATTTCCTCCTATGCCTGGGATCATGAAATTCAAATGCCGATCCCATGAATAGACTTGAAGTTGGTAGTGAGGTTTTTGTAACCTAGCTTCTATAGATTATAAGCAAAAACTTACAGATACGGCAATAATTAAGATGCTGCTAGAAATACTATACGCTATTGCTATACTTTGTGTTGTATTCCAGTTTAAGGTTCCTTCAAATTTGTAATTTACTCCTTCAGCTTTCTTTTCTGAGTCATCTGATCAAGTAATAATTGGGGAATCATCAATAACAAAAATCTAAATGAAAATATGACCAGATTTTGATCAATTAATTCATTTCAGAAAAGATATATGATTTTGATGTTAAGTTTGTCATAAATTTAAAATTTAGAATTTAGTGAAAATGATCACAATCATATGGTAATATTGCAGCATTTAGCAAATTTCATCATTTTGAAATTTCTTTTAATGTAAAGTATTAGAATACACTATATACAGTCAGGAATTTTGCTAAATCGGGATGTGTAACAAACAATGTTCTAGAAAATTTTTCCCCAATAAAATTTCGT